TCTGACGTACGCTTTCAGTGTGATAACAAATATAATTTAATTTTTTTTCCTTTTCCTTCTTTTTTTTTTTTAATTTTTCTTTTTCCTTCTTTCTCTCGCCTTAACTCCAGGATCAATAAATATACTCGATTTAGGTGTTTCGTAAGAGCCATAAATACATATATATATATATATGAATATTGACGACTATTTTTCAGTAAGTAAGTTGTCTTGTTTAACTAGTCTTACAAATATATAGGAACAAGAAGGAATGCCAACGTTCGAATACTTTCCTATGTCTACCGCGGCATGGTCTTACACTTAGTATATGTATAGAATAAATTTCTAAATGCTATTTTACAGAACGTGTTCCATGTAAACCAGTTTTCTGGTCAATACACTAACTACAGTAGGAGTATAAGAAGGAGAAGAAGGAGAAAGATTTTTTACTGTCCCACTTTTCTTTCTAAAATTGATTTCTCTCGAATTTACGAGTGACAAAAAGAAAAAAAAGCAAGGAAAAGAAAATAGAGAATTTATACATTAAGCTCTATGTTAGAACTATGATAGGAAATTCAAACGAATCGTGCAGTTAGATCAAATAGAATATATTTAATCATTATAAGAGTTATATATATATATATACACATATATCTCTCTCTTTGATATTTTCTTAATAAGGTCTATGACCTATATATGAGTCTATAGACCTTTTCGCCCACCCTAGAATACGAATATAAATGAAATTAATTATGAAAAGAAAGAAGAAAAAAAAAAGAAAAAGAAAAAAGAAATTGATTCATTTTGTTTTCATTTCAATCAGACGATCGAGATATGATTAAGAATCCGTTCCTGTTTGCTTTCATTACAGATGCCTCGTCCTCGAACGAAGCTGTACACCTACAGCAACGTCTCAGGAGCCTGAGCACGGAACTGGTGACCCTGAGGAACCGGCTACACGTAAGCCAACCTCCAAACGGTGGTTCAGTGCCGTCACCAGGAACGCAAGGTGCCCTGTCGAAAAGTCCAGAGAAGGGTAATTCTGTTGTTACTGGTGTTGCTGCTGGTGTTAGTACTAATACCGGTAGCGGTGGTACTGGTAATGGTAATGGTACTGGTAATGGTGCACCTTCCTCACCAGCACCAGCCGTACCACCAAGGACCAGCTTACCACCTGCATCCACGGTATCCCATGGAATCGGCCATCCGACTGGTCACTCGTCCAACCATTCCACCAGTCACACGCTCACGGCATCCGCGATCGTTCATCCTCACGTCAATCACGCCTCTGCGAACACGCTCGGCCACAACTCCACTGCCGCGAATAATTTCATATCTGGTTAGTATGCTCGAACTAATCTTCTCTGATAATTCACTGCTGGACTTGGATATTATTAACGAGTTAACATACGGTCATGTGAATTTACGTTATTTTCCAAGAATTGAAATTACAATCATTAAGTCATATAGAATTCTTTTTCCTTTTTTTTCATTTTCTTTTTTTCTTCTTTTTTTTTTTTTTTTCTTTGTTTCTTTTATTTTCTTTCTTTATTTTGTAGTATACGTCTCGATTGCTATGATTTTTAATATTATAGATATTTTTTTAAAAAGTCAATTATCTAATTTTTGACAAATTCATATATCGATCGTATGAAATTATGATTTTTCTTTGTTATTATTGTACAAAATTTATTGTAATATTTTCTATTAATTGAGAAATTATCGAAAGATTGTGATAGGAATAGATTCTTATTTGTGTATATGTGTTTACGAATTATTATTTTTAAATAGACAAGTTAAATATTTTCAATGAGATTAAGATTCATATTAATTGGAAAGAATTTTTCTTTTATATTTTTATATTAATTGATCAATTGATCATATATTAATGTATCAATTGATCTTAAATACAATTTAAATATTTCATATTAACGAAGAAGAATAATTACAAGGAAACAATATGAATTAATTTTTGTTTCTAGGTCGTCTCATTTTGAACTATAATGGTAAAAATATTTCCGATCCTATTGATTTTAGAAATAAATTGGTTTCAAAGAAAAATTGCTTATTTTTTTAAAGAGAGAATATGATATGTATTACAGTTATTTCATTGAGAACACTGTTGTCAGGATAAGGAAGTCATAATAATTTTTTTCCTTTTTTTTTTTTTTTTTTCTACTGAAAATCAATATTTTAAGTCGAACAAAAGTTGTAGAGAATATCAATAAAAATCCAATGACTATCTATAATATATCTTTTCATCGATATTTCATCAATTTATGGTGCTACGTTTTAACGTTTAACGAACTGTTAAATCGCAATAACCCGATCAATATTTCTGTAAACCTGATAACCAATGAATTAATGTATCGATTCTATTTTTTTCCTTCACTTGTTTTTCATTTATTCATTCATTTTCTTTCATACATTTTTGAAAATGTAATCATTCGAAGCGCGGTATACTTCAGTCCATTCATAAAGAACAATATTGCAGTATTATACGGTCTGTAAAAATATCATAATCCGATGAAATATCTGTAAAAAAACGTAAAATGTAACTTGCTTGCTCGTTGAATTCGTATTGATATATTCTCTACAACTTCCTTTTTTTTTTTTTTTTAAATATCGACTTCGTATCTAAAAAAAAAAATAGAAGGAAAAAAAATGTTATGACTTCTGTATCTTGACAACTACGTCCTCTATGAAATATATCCGCGATATGTATTATATTTTCCTCATCGAAACTCGGCAATTTTGTTATTTGAAACATTCGTTTATAAAACCAATAAGATGAAATATATTTATAATATATTATTTATGTATATTTATAATATAAGACATCGTGTGTTTTTGAAAAATAGCTGCTCTTTGCTTTCGTCGATGGTACGTCGAAAATATTAAAAACTTGGTAACACGTGAGTCTGGAATTCTTTTTTATTTGAAACATTCGTTTATATTTAAATTCGATACAATAGAAGATATTTATAATATATTAAGTATATATATTTATAATATATTTATACATATATATATTTATAATATACTATATATATATACATATATATATATAATTTATATATTTATATCTATTTATAATATGAGACACCGTATGTGTGTGTGTGTTGAAATAAAAGCTGCTCTTTACTTTCGTTGATGTTACGTCGAAAATCTTAAAACTTTGATACTACATGAATCTGGAATTTTTTTTTTTTTTTTTGTAATAAAAAGTATCAAAAAAGAAGAAAATAATCAGCTATCGATTAGCTGCAGTTTAATAAAGCGGAAGGTATCAGTTTTGCTAATATTTCAAAGTAAAAAGCTTCATGGATTGAGGCTGTATGAGGAAGTGATCGATTTTCGTCGTCATGGGTATAAGGACACGAATATACACACGCACGCGTGTTAGATAGTTATACATATATATCTAGTGAAGAGATGGAGTATGGGTAAGGGTAAGGGTAGGGGCTACAGGGTAGGGGGAGGGGATGTGTCGCGACACGGGACGTCCATCTACTCGCTCGTCCGCGTTAACGTTAAATCCTCGTGTAACACGTAATATCCTCGTTTCTCCGTTAATACGCCTCCGCTAATGGACCATTTCCCATCGGTGTATTATCTTCGATCGTGATCGTTTTTCAAAAAGAAAGGAAAATGAAAAAAAAAAAAGAAAATCGAAAAAAAGAAAATAAAAAATAAAAATGCAATACACGGCATGAAAACATACAAATAACGTTCGCTCCTTTTATCTTAATAACAAGAATTGTTTGGAATAAAAATTAGATCAAGCTTTTGTCACTTTTCTTTTATATATATATATATATATATATATATATATATATATATATATGTATGTAGATATTTTTTTTTTTCATGATTATCAACGAAAGTTAAGTGAATGCGAACTTATTTCAACGAATTGCCTATACCTATAAGATTTATATCAAGATGATAAATATTAATAAATTTATGGGTATGACAATGTTTACGGTATTTGAAAATTCGTAAAGCAACTTAATAAATAAATAAAATATTAATCTGTATTTAAAAATCTAATGTATTTAAAAATCGATATTTAAAGAAATTATTGAAATTGTTCCGAATGAAAGATTCAAATTATATAAATGATATATATTTAAAAATGATAAAGATTTACTTAAAATCATGATGATACATTCGATTGTAAAATTAATCGAAAAATATCCCGATATGAAATCGTCGTTATCTCATAGGATTAAAGGTATACCGATGGGTTATTGAAGATTAATGGTTACGTTGGGGGATGATTAGATTTAGATCCAACGAAGCGGCACAACGGCGTGTCGGACGATGGTATAGTATCTTGTGTGACAGCCCTCGGTTGCCTACGATCACCTCCAATCTCCAGTATTATCGCCGACGTGAAGAACGCTAAGAGTAATCAAGGCCAGCATCGATGTCTCCCAAAAGCAACCACACCGGCCAGCACTGGTCCTGCGACCTCTACGGCCTTGGACGATCTCATTCATTTACCCGGACCTCTCACGGAGGATGCGGTACTCAAATGCCTTCAGGCTCGTTTTTGTGCTAAACAGTATCACGTAAGTATTTTAATTTTTCTAATTAAATTATTATTAATAATGTAAATGAAAAGAAAAAAAAAAGAAACAAAAATAAAAAGTTCATTAGATCATAACAATGATTTCGATAGTTATCTTCTTACGAGTTATTTTCTTTTTTTTTCTTTCTTTTTTGCGAACGAATTATTTTCAAAAATGAATTTATTTAAATGTATCAATATATATATATATATATGTATTTTTAATATCTATATACTCGACATTGAAAGGTTTATAAAAATCTTTTCGGTGTTACATAAAATAAATTTTTATTAAAGCGGCATTTTTGAAGTAGACAAATTTATTGATGCAATATTTTTCCCTTTTTTCTTTTAATACCAACTTGAATAATATATTATTTTAAAATTAATAAGTAAATTATAATTATATTAGTCAAATATAGTTTCATTTCATAATTTCAAAAATCTAACATCTATTTTATATTTATTCAATAATTCAATGATCAGTTCAATGGTACTTTCAGTTTCATTGATACTTCTATTATAAAACATTACTGCATTTTTCTGCATTTATTTTGAATAAAAATAAAAATATACGTTAACATATACATATATGTATATATAGGAAGAGAAAGAGAGAAACAGAGAGAAAGAGAGAGAGAGAGAGAGAGAGGGAGAGAGAAAGAGAAAAGAGAGGTAAAACTTGTTGAAAAAACATATTTTTTCCGTTCTACGGATTGAAGTAATATCGGATGTAGCTAATTGAACTGATTGTTGATCGAACGTGTTTCTCTACATGCAATACGATAAGTTGTTACCTTGATCGATCAAACTAAATAAAAATTGTAAGATACTAATTGCTACATATTATATGAAATATCATATACATATCAAATATATATTCTAAAACTATTTTCAAAAAATGCGACATTGTAATAAAATGAAACTGATAACGGATATGACCTAAAAAAGGAACAAGTTTCGAAATATATTATAATATATTAATATATAGACTACGTTATATAATTATTAGTTGATCTTTTAGTTTGAAGTTTACAATATAATATAATTTATTGATGATGCAATATAAAATAATCAATTGATTGACAATTAACATGATATATTAATATATAGATCACGTTTCAATCATCGTTAGATTTTTGAAAATTTTTAACGAATTTAAAAGAAAAAGAAAAAAAAAAAAGGAAAAGGAAAAGAAAACAAAAATAGAGGGAAACAATTTTTGTATTAGACAAATATTTGACGATCTTGTCTAAAAATGTTTGACGAATTGATTGATGAAAATTAAAAATTATAAAAAACAAAAAAAAACACATATAAGAAAAATAAACTAATAATAAAGAGGTTTCATTTTGGTTTGGCAAACCCAAGCCCTTAACACGAAACCCTTCGGGCTATGTTTTTACACGGTTATATGTAGGAGGAGCTTACGATTGCACATGCACGCACGAGCTCTGGTGCTGTTCTTCGTTGGAATGCAAGTGGAGCAAAAGGGTGGGGAACTCAACTGGTACACACACACATACACACATACATATGCGAACGAACGTGCATATATATGTGCATGCATACATGCATATACAGATACACACATACATATATGCACATACGTTACATACATAAATATACACATATGCACAAGCGTACGCACGATTTCAGTGCTTGTATAAGCGTCGATAAAGCAACGTTGAGAATCCACCCTATTCCTTCACACGTGCTGGCCCACGCACAGGTGGCATACTCACATTCCTTACGAACACTTCGTCATTCACATACTCTGTTGATTCCCTATCGAATCTTTTCCGCATTTTTTCTTTTACTTCCTGACTTTTATTTAACGACTAAGGTCGTTTAACTAATTACGAATATTCTATAAATAGATCGTACGAGTTACATTAGGTTAATAATATATTTTTTTGTTTTCTTCTTTTTGTTTCTTTTTCTTTCTTTCTTTTTTTTTTAACGCATCTGATTAAAATAGAAAGATTATAATGAATATATATTTTTGAAAATAAGTAGATATAATATTTTTGAAAATTAATAGATCATTTTAAGATCTTTAGATTTATATTGATTATAATGATGTATATATTAGATTATATTAGATTATAATGAATATATATTTTTGAAAATAAGTAGATATAATATTTTTGAAAATTAATAGATCATTTTAATATCTTTAGATTTATATAATTTAAACCTTTTCATTCAGTAAAATGATAGAATTAGAATAAGAGATACTTTGTATTATTCAATGTATTATTCAATAGTGTTTGAAACGGAAAATGGATAAACTTGATTGGATAGATTTAGATTTAAACGATTTAAATCATTTTATTCATTAAAATGACAGAATTAGAACAAGAAATAACTTCTTGTATTTTTCTTCTTTAATGTTCGATGATATAGATAAATCAATTGATATCGGATAGATATAGATTAAGATTTAGATGATAATGACTTTTTTTTATTTATACATATTAATTTTAATATGAAAGAACTAGGACGAGGTCACTTTCCAAAAATAGAATTTAATATTATAGAACCTCGAGAGATCCAATTAATTCGAAACGTCTAACCGTTAAATCATCATCGAACGTACTCGCAACCGGTTTTCAAAGAAACATGAACGATCGATATGAGATCGTTCGTGTTCGTGTTTAATGCGAGGAAGCCGAATGAGAGAATAGTGAGTTTCTCAATAGGTCACTCAAAGGAGAGGAAACATCGCCGAAAGGTAGACTACGCCTTTTAGTTTACAAAAAACTCAATAGCGTTCACCCAATTGCAAGAGAAACGGTTGTTCCCTAATTGGTGGCAACCGGTGAGGTACTCTTTCTTTTATTCTTTTCGTCATTGATGGAGAAAAAATTTGATCGTTCAACCATAACGAGTATCGAAAACACTAAATCTACAATTTTATATCTCGATGTGAAAACATTAAATAGGACGTTTACTGTTATGATTAGAAAATTATTTGAAAATTTTCAAATTTTCACATTTCTGAACGGTCAAAGAAAATTTTCGAATGAAAGATAGAGGTTTCCTTTTTTCCCTCGGTTCTTTTTTTGTTTTGTTGTTGGTCTTTTTTCCTTTTTTTTTTTCTTCTTTTTTTTTTTTTTTTTTTTTTTTTTTTTTGAGAAAAAACGAAAATGCTATTTGATCATAAGCCTAACTTGCACGCAAACACAGACATACGTATGTACGTACGTGTGCACTTGTAATCTGTTTGCAGATTAACACTGTTAAGTTAGGTTTCTTTCCAATTCATCCTTTTTTTCTTTCATCTCCCCACAATCTCTTTAGGATATCCGATGGACCCCGACACCAGACCGGTTCTCTCTTTCTCCTCCACGCCCAACTTTCGACCCTTTTCTTTTCTTTTTTCGTTTCTTTTTTTTTTTATCCTTTTTTTTTCTTTTCTTGAACCTTTTCTTTTCTTCCTTTTTTTTTTTTCTTTTCTGTTCTCTTCTTTTCTCTGCGTGCCGCTTTACCTTCTCTAGCAGACTTCTAATAGCAATCAAGCTCATCGGGACCCTCCAGGTCCTGGATCTTCATTCCCGTGCTCCGCCTACCTCTCCTCCCAATTCTTCTCTCTTCACCCCTTCCACATCTCCAGTCCCTTCCAATATTTTATTTCGAACGTCTCCCGGTCTGTCCCAATTTTTAACTACCAACCTCGTGACTTTTCACTTTTATTACCAACCTTTGAATTATTTATTTTCGAGTCTGACATATTTTTCTAAGCTTTATGCCCTACTAGAATTTATTCTTCGTTTGGTAATATTACTCAAAGTCTAAAAAAATATATTTCGTAAGAAACATTATCAGGAGATCGATATATAATACTTAATGACTTAGTTTCTATGTCTCTTTTCTACAATATTAATTCTCTGTTGCTAAGACTTTTCAAATGTTACTGCAATTGCGTTACTTGTTACTTTCATTCTTTTTGTTCTGATTCTATCATTGAGTCGTGAACAAAAATATTCTTCTAGTTTATATAAGTGACATGAATGAGAAGGAGTCATGAATGATTTATAAAAATGCATTAAAACACGTTGAATACAAGATATATATATATATATATATATATATATATATATATATATATATAAACTTATGCCATAGTGCTAGTTATCGAGATCTTTATTATATCCACATTTAACGATATCGTTGCGCAAACATCATTCTAAATATTTTGTGAAACTTTTCAAAAGAGATAAGAATTATTAGTTGACACAATCGTGGAATTTCAATTCTGGATAAAAAGTTAAATAATAAAATATTTCAGAATATCGATATTTAATATGTTTCCAAATTATTTAGCGTTCGACAATTTTCAAATCTTGAAATACACGTTGAATTGTAGACGAACGTGGGACCTATCTTGGTCAGTATCAATCCCTACACGGATGTTGGGAATCCATTGACCTTGACGAGTACCAGGGCCGTACCATTGGCACCTCAATTGAACAGGGTCGTCCAGGAAGCCGTAAGGCAACAATCAGAGACTGGTTATCCACAAGCAATCATACTTTCCGGTAAGAAACAAATGTCGAACTTTGAAAAGTTCATTGTTTTATTCGGTTATAGTTGGAAGAGTCAGTCATTTTTTCTTTCTTTTCCTATTTTTTCTTTTCTTTTTTTTTTCTTTTTTTTTTTTGAATCAATTTTCTTTAGGAACAAGCGGATCAGGGAAAACGTATGCCTCGATGTTATTACTTCGGCAACTTTTCGACGTAGCTGGCGGTGGGCCGGAAACAGACGCTTTTAAACATCTGGCAGCTGCATTCACGGTTCTTAGATCTTTGGGATCTGCTAAAACTGCCACGAACTCGGAAAGTTCAAGAATAGTAAGTTATTAATGCGATCACAAGAAGAAAGTTGAACGAGTTTAACGTGACATTACTTTTGCCAGGGTCACTTCATCGAGGTACAAGTTACCGACGGAGCTTTGTACAGAACAAAAATTCATTGTTATTTCTTGGATCAGACGAGAGTGATTCGGCCATTACCAGATGAGAAAAATTACCATATATTTTATCAAATGTTGGCCGGTCTATCTCACGAGGAAAGAGGTTTTTATCCTTTTTTTCTAAAACAATCATTTAGATCTTATCTAAATTTCCTTTTCTTTTTTTTTTTTTTTTTTAATCAACGATCTTTTTTTCTTTTCTCTTTTGTCATTTCGTTTAACAGTGAAACTCAATTTGGAAGGATATAATCTGAAAAATTTGAGGTACTTACAAAATGGCGATACTAGACAGGATGAGGCAGAAGATGCGATAAGATTTCAAGCTTGGAAAGCATGTTTGGGTAAGCGTTTGTAAGAAGTATTATTCTTCAAAGGATTCGAACGAATTATATCTATCTATATCTCTTTATCATTTTAGGTGTTCTTGGTATACCTTTCCTCGATGTTGTAAGAGTATTAGCTGCTGTTTTGATTCTTGGAAACGTAGGCTTTACGGATGGGCCTGGTGTTGAGGTTGGTGTAATTGGAGAAAATGAACTTGCTTCAGTGGCCGCACTTTTAGGGGTTCCACCACCTGCACTTCTCAGAGGTCTCACATCGAGAACCCACAATGCCCGAGGACAATTGGTTAAATCTGTCTGCGATGCAAACATGGTATAGTTATATCAGTTTCTTTGAAATTTGTTTGATTTTTCGTTTATTTGTCTAATGAATAGTATTGTCCATATCTAATATATATATACACATACATCAATTCATTTTTTAACGTAGTCTAATATGACGAGAGACTCCCTGGCCAAAGCCCTTTATTGTCGTACCGTTGCAACTATAGTTAGAAGAGCTAATAGTTTAAAAAGATTAGGATCGACCCTTGGAACTCTTTCGTCTGATTCCAACGAGTCTGTTCATAATCAGGCTGAGGTCACCAGTCAACATGCTTCTACTATTGGCAGTTCTGCAGGTAATAAAATTTAATCAAATTATGTTATTATTCGAATAATGAATTTTTAATGTACATATATATATTATTCTCAGGCGGTACTGGTTCAAGAAGCATGACAGCTTTGAACAATGCCGTGAGACATGCAACAGACGGTTTTATAGGAATCTTAGATATGTTTGGATTCGAAGATCCGAAACCAAGTCAATTGGAACATCTCTGTATAAATTTGTGCGCAGAGACTATGCAACATTTTTATAACACACACATTTTTAAGAGTTCCATCGAAAGTTGCCGTGACGAAGGTATAAGGTGTGACGTTGAGGTGGATTATGTTGACAATGTACCTTGTATCGATCTCATTTCTTCTTTGGTAAGTACAAAATATTCAAATTAGAAATCTTTACGCTTAATAATTTCTAAGGTGAGTCTTAATTATGTTTTTTGAACGAATATCGATCTGCAGGATTGATTTAATTAATAATTAAATAATATCACAGTTATATCGTTGTTTTTAAATATAAAAATAGAATTAGATTTTATATCTGATGTTCGATAGAAAATTTATAATTGACATTATATGAATCAATTATATTAAGATTTTTCAAATTTACTAAAATTTCTTCTTTCTTATAAATTTATCGATGCTCTTAGCGTACCGGTTTACTCAGCATGTTGGACGTCGAATGTTCGATACGTGGTACTGCGGAGAGTTACGTAGCTAAGGTGAAAGTTCAGCATAAACAAAATCTTCGACTATTTGAACCTAGACCAGTAGATTGTAGATCTTTCGGTATTCAACACTTTGCTGGAAGAGTTACGTACGATGCATCAGATTTTTTGGGTAAGAAAAAATATTGTTTCTTTTTTTTTTTTTTTTTTCTTATACAATTCATAAACTTTCATAGCTCTAATTAAATTATTATTATATAATGTATTTTTAAAGACACGAACAAGGATGTCGTGCCAGATGATTTGGTAGCGGTCTTTTATAAACACACTTGTAGCTTTGGTTTTGCCACTCATTTATTTGGCAGTGAATTGAAAGCTTTATACGCAAACGACACAGTCCCAAGAGGTGTTAGCTTTAGGATATCACCGACTTCTCATACGGATCTGTAAGACAATTGTTTTTTATTATCGTCTTAATTATTTAAATGTATATATATATTAAATTATACGTATGTCCGAGTTCAGTTTAAATGGCGATGAACCGATCTCAACGTTGACGCAAGACTTTCACACGAGGTTAGACAATCTGTTAAGAACTTTGGTTCATGCCAGGCCACATTTTGTTAGATGCATCAGAAGCAATGGGACTGAAACTCCTATGCATTTGGACCGAGGTGTTGCGATGAGGCAAATACGTTCCCTGCAGGTTCTAGAGACTGTTAATTTAATGGCTGGTGGTACGTAGATTATCACGAAAACTTAGTTTATTAATCCTGTAATAACATAACTTCGTTATTAATTTAATGATTAAACAAGTTTCAATTATGGAGTTTCCGTAGTACCAAAAGAAACTTTCCTTGTTTTTTAATATCATAAATTTTTACAATTTTATTCTCTCGATGTTATCAAATATCAATTTGTATAGCCAATGATTTCACATGATAAAAATCCCATTTGAAAGAAAATCAATCGATAATTCAATGTATCGATGTATCATCATCCTTCTATCTTGGATCGAATCTTTAGGGATTTAAAAACAAGAATAAATAGAATTAAGGAGTGATCCTCATTCCTATTGATCAGGTTACCCGCATAGGATGCGGTTCAAGGCGTTTAATGCTAGGTATAGATTGATCGCACCTTTTAAACAATTACGTCGAGCTGAGGAACAAGCTGTCGAGGATACAAAACTAATATTACAAAATGCCCAACAATTGAAAAATAAATTTGGGGCCAGTACGAGTTGGGCACTTGGAAAGAGACACATTTTCCTTAGCGAGGGAATTCGTCAACAGCTTGAATGTTTGCGTTCGGAGACAAGAAGGAAAGCTGCCACTGTGATACAGGTAATGTTAACGCAATCATTTTTTTTTTTATTCGCTTTTTTTTCTACTTTTCAGACACAATTTTCAAAAAGATTTATTTTATCGATTTAGGCTACGTGGAGGGGATGGAGAGTTCGAAGGAGATGGCCATTAAGAAGAACGACGATATGTGTATCAACGGTTATTGGACAAAAGAAATTACAACAAGCAACAACTGGTAATACGGGAACTGTTCAAAGAAATGTTACAACAGGAACAGGAACCGGAACTGGTACTCGTCCTAGACCACAACCAATCGCTGGAACACCACCACCAGATCCTTCGGAAAAATGTGCCGATCAAAAAATGATACAACAAACATGTACACTATTTGGCCTTGATCTGGTACATATCATTAATAATATTATAACGCTTTGAGATAACAATATCTTTAAATTATACTCAATGTTTCACAAACGAATAATTCATTAAATTAGAATTATTACAAAATGAATATTATCGAACAATTCGTATCGTTCAATCTGACGTTCATACAATCTTACTGATACAATTATCGATACTACTTATTTTTCTTCTTTTTTTTTTTTGTTGATCATACGATTTAAAATCCGATCGAGAAAATTTATTCCTAAAAATCATTTAATTGATTTAACATAATGCAATCTCATTTTTTCACAATTTTATCAAGGAACGTCCACCACCGGTACCACCGAGTAGATCATACACCGTAACAGGTAATACGAAATTAGGATATCCACAAACAAGGATCATGAAGATGCCTTTCCCAGGTAAGGAAAAAAAAAATATATATATATATACAGGGTGTTCCGATGTTTATAATCGATCATTGAGAGAGATAAAAGGTGAAACAATTTTTAAACAACAATATTACTCTGTCATTTATTTCTACCATCATTATTCTTTCACTGTTTAGTTTTATTTAATCATTAAGTCGATCTAAATCTCTCGTACGTGCTTTTGCATAACATTATCTCTGATCATACTGATCGAATGACCGAATAACGATAGGAACACACGAAATCCACTCAAAGGACACGATTCGTTGTTGCCTTTGAATTTACGGTCGACTCTTCCGAGCAACCGACAGCTCATTAGTTGGTTATTCCTTCGCTGGTATATCCTTCGAGAGCCAGGATATCTTCCTTTGTTCTCTGGTTTCCGATATTTCGTGACCTCTGTTCCCTCCCCCGAATCTCCTCGTTCGAACAAAATTACTTATCTTAAAAGTATTAGATGATTTTCATTTAGCACGGGAATATTCAATCGCATAAATCCTTTCATAAACACGAACGACGTTGATTCCGAACTACTGCAGTGTAAATCGATTTTTCGATCTTTTCAATTAATTTTTTAATTAATCGACGATTAATGTGAGATATGTTTTTTTTTTTTACATAGATTTAAGGTTCGTCTGAAAATTATTTCAATGTCTTTCATCTTCTCAAAGATTGATTATCATATTTTGGGATATATAATATAAAGAAATATAAACGAATGAAGAACTTACGTTTTTTTTTGTTTTGTTTTGTTATCGATTTGTAAACAAATTTCAGAAGAAGGGGAAGGAGAGGTAGTGTTATTGAAAGGTGAAACCGTTTTAGTCGTTGGAGCATCTCCGAGGCGAGGACATCTCTTAGTAGAACACAACAATACTACGTTACACGTGCCTTATCAATTCATGGAGCTTAAACCTTGCAATATTAACGTATAATAATTTATTGCGTTTACAATTTTCAACACCAATTATATATATATATATATATATATATATATATATATATATATTTAAAATAATATTTGGACAATTCGTATGGAGATAAAACCTTGCTACAGTAAGTGTTCAGTAATTTATTACATTTATGATTTTCAACCCCGAACTGTACAAGTACACATATATACATATATATGTAAATCTAATATTTGAACAACTCATTTCTTAAATGAGAAAATAAATTAAGATTTCTTATCAGGTTTTATCAGTTATGTCCAATTCGACGAAAATTTATAATTTTATTAGTTTATCTTATTCATTTATTATCCAAAATTATTAATAACATTATTCGGATATTTAGTACGAATAAGTGATTGAAAAGAAAAGAAAAGAAAAAAAAAGAAAAAAAAAAGAAAGGAAAGAAAAAATAAGTAGCATCGTATTGAAATGCTCACTAATTGTGAAAACGGGTGGGTTGGTGGGGGGGAATACGGAAAGAGGGACAATGAACGTTTAACTAATTTCACTGAGCAAGTTTAAAGAACTTGAAATAGTGCTTATCGCTTGTTTAAGACAGAAGTAACTGATTAGACTGTAACATAAATATACTTTCATATTGCCTCGAAACCATGTTTGTCTTCCATGTAGATAAGTGCATGTCGCAGTATAATGCACAGAAATGCATATACGTATGTACGTATGTTTGTTTGTGTGCACAAAACACACGCCTGTGTTTGTTAATACGTGTGCTTTCTAATAGCACATTTCTTAATTGCGTTAAGTAATTTAATTACTAATGCTTCGTTATATATATATATATATATATATATATATATATTATATATATATATTATATATATATATATATATATATATATATATATATACATATATCTTCGTTCGTTCGAATTTGAATATCGTCGATATATTGTAATTTTTAAGTCACATTCGCCATCAGTATTCCTTCTTGACTATTCTTGAATTCTTAGTGCCAACAACTATAAAGAAAATAGAAGAAAGAAATAAAACAGAAGATAATAAGCAAAAGAAAAAAAAAGAAAAAAGAAACAAACAGAAAGAAAAAAAGAAAGAAAGAAAATTCAATCGTAATAATATATCACTATGCGCTGTACATGTACCATATTTGATTAAGGCCTCTTTCGAATTACTATAGAATATATTACATACGATTAGTGCCACTTGATTAGACTTTAATCGAATTTTAGTTATTATTATCGATATTAGCATCTAAGTAATAAGAAATCTTAGCTTTGTATATTAGCTTATACACTGATTCATCAAAGATTCTAATAAAGTTTTAAGAATGAATAATACCGTTAGTTACGTACGAAGAAATTGTATGTATATACTATAAAGAGATTATTTGTGATCAGTTTGTGTTATTTACGTATGATTTATGAATGATGGATATACGTATTTGTAGTTTCTGTAATTACTTATAATGAGATAATAAAAATTAATGAAAAATCTAATTATCGTCTTTGATTATGAAATATATCGAATAGACACCTACAATGAATCTAAAGAAGTATTCGTATACCGATCAATATGAAATAAAATTCATTTATTCATTTATTCGAGCTATTAATTAAAATTATCATTAAATTAATTATCATTAAATTTATTAGATTAAATCGATCAATTCGATTTGATCGATTTAACATAATAAAATATATTTATATTTCAATTGTTGATCATTCGCAGATCACCAGAAGTTACATTATGAAATTATCATTGAATTGTATTAATCAGTTTCATTAGTTTTATAATTAATTTGAAAGGAAAGTTAGTCAATGTGTTTTGAATTGGGTATGTATGTCTATTGGCATTTGAGAATACACGTGGCTTTGTCGATGATATATACGGACGAACGATTCAAAAGGAAGAACTTTGACATGAAATCGTTTTCACGTTGCTTACAAACGTTGATGGCTATGAGAAGATTCAAACTCGTGTTTCCATCTTTACTGAAGTCATCGGAGAGTGAACATCTTGCTAATGTTTGACTTTGGACTCTCCCGAAGTTTGGTTTAATCATTGGAGTGAGCTTCTCGAACGTATTGCTCATCTAAAGTTAGAATTTTACACTCACACACATACACACACACAAACACACACGCACACACGCACACACGCACATATATACATACATACATAGACAGGCATACACAAATATATTTAGATGATATTTAATATTTTGTTTTGTTTTTATTAAATTCTAAATTTTTTTAAAGATTTATCTTTACGTCCCTTCATTTACATTATTTTTCGATAGTTTAATTACAATTTAACTAATATCTGATAGTTTTTTTTTTTTTTGGATTACACGTAAATATATATTTCAATAGACATTTTTTGAAATTAGATTTTGATCTAATAATAATATTTATTTTAGATTTAGATTTAATAATAATATATTTCTTTTACTTTTTATTAATTCCTCCGGAATTTTTCTAATATTTTTAAGATCCTTCTTTTACATTATCTATTATAATCTGATTTTATAGATTCCTGATATCTGATTATTAATTTAATATTTTAACTGTTTCTTTTACCATTTTTCTTTTTCTTTTACATTTTAAAACTAAATATTAAAAATCTTTTATATAGGACGTTCTTCTAATAAAATAGTTAATGAGTTATTACATAGTATATATATTTTTTATTTTTTTATTATATTTAATAATTTTATTTTATTTTATATTCATTAATTTTATGTTTCAATATAAATTGTTTCATTGTTATTATTATTATTATTATTATTATTATTAATATTATTATTATATTTATCTTATATGTTATCTCATAGAATTTTTCCTTTTTACGTTTGATATTAACTGTAACGATTTCATTATTATTTCACTTTGAATTTATAAAATAAGATATCCCATTAGGATAAAAAAAAAGAAAAACTGTAATAGTATTCTCTTTCTTTCTTTGTTATTGCATTTGACGTAAGATAAGAATCTTGGTTGGATCTTTGAAAAATAAAGAAGATACTTCTCACATATCTTTTTATCCGTAATGGAGCCAAGGAGAATAACGGAAACGATGAAATTATTTGCTTCTAGAGAAAGAGAATATTCTCGTACTAGCTATATTTACTATAGTTATATTTATGTAAGTATCTATATACGTGTGTACGTGTATAAGTGTACGTGAGATTCTTTTACTTACATCTTTCTTTATTCTCTTTCCTTTTCTCTTTTTCTCTTTCTCTTCCTCTCTCTCTCTCTCTCTCTCTCTCTCTCTCTCTCTCTGTCTCTCTCGAATAACCATTATCTGTCACCGTGGGAATTCCGGAACGCGTAATAACTCAACTTATTGTTGGAAGTTATAACTTTATACGGTTGAGGCCTTAGTTGGAAAAGCGTGCTGACGACAAGACAAGGAACCTTCTTTACTTCTTTATACCACTTAGCAAAGAATTCCTTAAGATTAAAAGGAATTTCTCGTTCATTGTATATTTTCTATTAGATCGGACGCATAAACAAATTTTATCAATTACTAATCCATTAAAACAGGAATATTTATTTGTTTCGTTGGTAACATTTTTAGAATCGATCGATATTCTTTTCTGTATTTTCTTTTTTTTTTTTTAATTAGCTTCTATAATCATCGTGTAAATTTTGCCGATGTAGGATTTTCATGTTCGTTCGTTTAAACTTTAAAGGAAATGTTTGGAAACATGAATTTTGTCTAAGCTAATTAGGAACTAAATAGGGACTATTTTTAAGATTAAATAATTGATCGATATTATAGATTATTTTTGTTATTATTATTTTTCTTCTTATTATTATTATTATTTGTATTTTTCTTCTTTTTTTCATTTTTATTAACTTCTTATTGTTATTCAATATTAAATAATTCATCGGTTGGTTGACATATTGTAACATCATCGTAAGAAATTTCATATCACTCTATAAATAAATATTATATATAAAGATATATATATATATATATATATATATAATATATTTATATATATACATGTGGATAATTAAGATATATATATATAAATATTTTTTCGAGAAAAAAAGAAATAAAGAGGACGAATATAAAAGTATATATATATATATATATATATATATAATTTTATATTTATTTTATATTAATTATATTAATTTTAACAAAAAGGATATTCAATTAGTTCTTAATTTATAATCAATTTCTATTATCTAATTATTTAAATATCTCTAATATCCAGGATGTTCTATTTGAATTTATACATAAACTTTGAACATTTTCAGAGTAATTCAAAAAGATATTATATTAATACTAATTTTAAGTTGATCATTAGTCTTGTAAGCTTATATTTTTCTAACGATGTTTCATATTATTTTTTTAACAGTAACATACACAAATATATATATATATATATATGTACATATATGTATACATAATATATTGCATGTACGTAGATTCTATGGACTCTGATGTATACGGGTGCTGTAGAGTAGCCGACTGTTTTGATTCTCATGTCAGAAAGTTGGACGTTTTCCAATTTCTCATCCCTTTTACCTATCGCTTAAGGCGAGAATGTGAATTTTGAAATACGATTTTAAAGCTCCGAATATTGCTCGCTCGATTTAAAAAAAAATATATTCCTCTACTTTGTAACTCCATTCAACATTAACGAAATATATCAAAAGGAAGAAAAAAAGAAAAATATAAATGACTTTAAATGTCTTAATGAAATTAAATTTAATTGAATCGATATCATTTATAATTCTTGAATTATCTTATTTTCGAAAAAAATGCATTTGTTACATTAATATCGAAAAATCGTGTTATTTTAATATATCACAATAAATAAATGCATTTCATTGTACTATTTCTTACATATATTAATTGTATCAGTTAGAATGATATTTAAAATCAATATTCTTCAATGATATCTTAAAAAATTCCAATTATTTTAATAATTATTTATCAGACAATTTCTCGATCTTTTGTCGGTCGATTTTCTCATGTAAACGTTAGTAGCCAACAACCGGTGGGAATAGACGTATCCAATCCTGCCTTTGATAGGGAACTTGGAAGCTTGTCGCGAATTTCTAACATCGCTACAACTTGGATAGTGTCATCGTAGTCTCAAGATCAAACAAAGGATCTCACAACGGTCTTATATATATATATATATATTTCTCTCTCTCCCACTCAGTCTTTCCCGCCCTCCTTCACTCTCTCTTCTCTCTTCTCTCTCTCTCTTCTCTCTCTCTCTCTCTCTCTCTCTTTCTTGAAGGTTCATGAAATCTCATTCGATAATGGCTCAGGATATTCATCGACCCACAAAGCAACACGAGAGTGTCGGCTACACTACACTAGTATACTAGAACTGCTACTATAAGATAGGAAACTATCGGATGAGAGAGAGAGGGAAAGAGGTGGGAGAGGGAGAGGGAGAGGGAGAGAGAGAGAGGGAGAGAGGGAGAACGATGTCACGTATATTAAATTTCTTCTCTTCGTCGCCTGCCTTTTCCTAGTTACCTTTACTTACGAGCTACGAGCTTCTGAGAGCATACTATCAAATATTTTCTATTTTTAATATATACGATTTGATCGAAAGAAATATTTTGCAAAATTTGGTGATTGAAAAATGACGAATAAATGTTAAAAAATATCTATCTTATGCTTATAGGATAATCTATAGGGTGAATCGTTAGAAATTAAAACTCTATCGAAATATCTATTTAAAATTGCTTTCATTTTAATTCTTTTTCATTTTCTTCTTTCTATAGATCTTTCCTTTTTTCTTTCTTTCAACCGGATACTAT